AGAATGATGAGGGCAATGAATGTACAAATGCACTTTACACAATTGATGTGTGTATGGCTTGTGATAAGAGTTGTATGAGCCCCTAATAAAATGATTTTTAAAAAAATAAAAAGAAAAAAGAAAATACCATTGCTAGGGGCCTATTAGTCCTCAAAATGACATCTTTGCTTTTTAACACTTAAACAAAAAAAAGACAACCTCATCTTTTTTCCACGGAGCAGCTGTGAGTTTCAAGCACTGACCTTGGAGTTAGCAGCCCAAACCTTAACCCATACTACTATCAGGGATCATTAAACATTAGAGATGCAAATCAAAGAACAGCAAGATGTCATCTCACCCCAGCAAAAATAACAAGCCTCTGAGGTCCTTTTCCAGAAAGTACATTCAGCATCAAGTCACCAGAGCTTCCAACTGAGTATGAGAACTATATATTAGTGTTCTTTTTAAGTTTTATGTATGTCTTTTTTTATTTTTGGATCTGTTTCTCTTAGGATGAAACCAAAATCCTTTTTAAATACCTTCCATCATCTATTTCCTCTAATGATGAGGTTGCCTCCTCTCAAATAGTCCCTTCCTTTGTATCGTATGCTACCTTTGTATAACCTCTCCTACAGTACACCAGTATCTATCTTGATGATCCAAAGCACAGGGGAGAAATTATAGCATATAATCACAAAAAGATATGATCTAAAATACCATGGCTTCTGTCTTGCACATTTGTGCATGTTTTCTATTTATGTTCTAGAAAAAACTGTAGTACATACATACAATGGAACACTGTACAACAATGAAAAATAACACAGAATCTGTAAAACTTCTTACAACATGGATATATCTGGCAGAAAATATGCTGACTGAAATAATTCAAACATAAAAGGGCAAGTACTGTATGAAGCAGTATTATAAAAAGTCAAAAACAGGTTTACACACAGAAAGAAACATACTTTGATGATTCACAGGGAGGAGAGAAGAAGGGAAACACTAATTAAATATTAGATAAGAATTATTCTGGTAACAGGAAAGGCAATACACAATATGGGAGAAGTCAGCACAGAGAAGACCCTGGAAATATGATAGAATAAAAGACAAATTCAATCAATGTTTTAGCATACACACACCTGCAATTAACAATAATTTGTAAGTGGAAACATATTTATTCTAAATAGGTAGGGGAGGTTGTAAAAGAATACACTTGTACACATATATAGGTATGGTGGTAGCTATTTCTACAAACATATTTGTAAATGCTGCATATAAACTTGTAAACATATTAGAACACGGAGGGGACACAGAGAAACAACTTAGATACCTGAATTGACTCAGCAGACCTGGAGGCCAAGGAGACTTCAAGGGTAATTGGCCAAGCACAGTTCATAATGTTCTACATTCTATTCTGCTTAGTAGTGCGTGTGGTCTTTTGAGTGGATATGTAAGATACAACTGTTGGTCTCTTCATACTTATTGTTCAAAAAGAGAAAAACCAACTTGAAATGAAAATATGAAATGAGGCCACCTTCAATCTACTCAAACTCATATTTATTGCCATCAACTTGATGTCAACTCATAGTGACCGTATAGGACAGAGTAGAACAGACCGTGTGGTGTCTGAGACTGTAGCTTTTGATAGAAAACAAAGCTTCGTCTTTCTCAGAGCAGCCAGCAGCCCAATGCATAACTACTACACCACTGGGCTCACTATCAAACGGGGCTACGAAACAATGTGAAGAATGCACCTCTCAGAGCAATTAGCTCGGTCAACCAACAGGGCAATATCTGCCCCAAAGCAAAGATGAGAAAACAAAGAAATTGAACAGATAGAGCAAAGAACCCTGGGAGGACTTAGGAGGTGTGCTGATGCATTGTGGAGATCGCAACCAATGTCATGAAACAATTTGTGTATAAAGTATTCATTGAGAAATGAATTTGCTCAGTAAATTTTCACCTAGAGTACGATAAAGTGTATGTGTGCGTGTGTGTACAATGACTAAGATTTAGAAAGCTTTTAGATATTGGATGTCATAATTTCAACGATGGCATTACAATACATCCAGGAATGTTTTCACCTGAGAAGATCACATACTGATAGAAATAATGGTGCTGTGGGGCTACCCACTTTGCCAACTACGGGTTCTTGAACATTTCTTTTCAGGAGAACACTGTAAGTTGAGCAGACCAGCCCTCTCCATTCCTTCCCCATTCATTAGTGCTCATTAAACAAGCAGTTTTAAAGATAGTAAATCATGATGTCAACATAAGCTGGACAATAACAAAACACTCAACTTACAATACTTTAAAAGAAAAAGAAAAACCATATAAGAATGCTATAAAGTTTCACAAGGCCTCAGCTGTTTCTTATTGAACTTTAAATTCTCACAGGGAGAATCACAGAAATAAATTAATATTATGCAATTACTACTGAATTATTTCCCTAAATAATAAAATCAATGATATAGTTGTACTTCATTAGTATTCAGAAAAGTTATTACAACAGGCATGATATTACTTACTATGCCTAGAAAGATCTGTTTCCAAGACTGTCCCTTGTCTGGTGTCTGGTCACTTGGATTTTGGGGAAATTTCTACCATTCTCTGATAAAAGAGGAACACTGATCCTAAACTTTTGTGCAAACAATACAGTTTATGCCAAAAACCTGGGTCTAGAATTTTGGTACATGCTAGAGACAGGGTGCCCACATGACTAGTCTCCAGTAAAACCATGGGCACCGAGTCTCTAATGAGCTACTCTGATAAACAACACTTTACAAGTATTAGCTCAATTAGTTGCTAATACTGGGGGCATTAAGTGCATCCTGTGAAACTCCACAGGGAGAGGACTCTTGAGGAACTTGTGCCTGACTTCCCTTGGACTCTACTACATGTACCCTTTCACTAAAATGATGTTTCAGATTCTCTTACTATATATAATAAATTCAGGGTTCCAGGCTGGTTCCGCCCAGTTCAATCATAGCTAAGTAGCAAAATTGAGCAAAGATTAATTTTTATTAAAATCTGGGTGAACTAGAGTGAAATTTTAAGTTATGAGATAACTTCAATCATAGCTAAGTAGCAAAATTGAGCAAATACGAATTTTTATTAAAATCTGGGTGAACTGGAGTAAAATGAGGTTAACCTATGGGGTACAGCAAGTAGATACTTAAACCAAATCTCTTGCCCACAGAGTTGGAAAACAGTGCCACCTGGCTCAAAGAGGGTGGCCGACTGCACCACTCTGAATGCTTGTCACTCTCTCCAGTTTTACTAAAAATCCAATTTCCTGTACCAGGTCAATTCCATTCCATTTCAGCTCACAGATGCCTAGGATATCAGTGTTTATGCAGCCTATTTCATTTTTTATGACTTCCAATTTTCCTAGATTTCAACTTTGTACATTCCATGTTCTAATTATTAATAGATGCTTATAGCTGTTTATTCTCATTTTAAGTCGTGCCCCATCAACAAATGAAGGTCCCAAAAGTAACTCCATCCACGACATAATGGCTGACTCTAATTGTATAAGGCACCTCTTCCTCGGCACTTCCAGTATCTTCCAGCACCTGACAGTGCTCTGCTGCTATTCATGAGGTTGCCAGTAGCTAACTCCTCAGAAGTGGATAGCCTAGTCCTTCCTCACAGTTTCGAATCTCCGCTGAAACTCTGGGTGACCCTGCTGGTATCTGAAATACTGGTGACATAGCTTCCGGCATCACAGTAGCACGAAAGCCACCACAGGACAACAAACTGACAGACATGTGGTAGAGTTGCTAACTATTATTTATTATTATCAGTTGCTAATTAGTATTTATGAAATCACATGTTTGTGCTTTAGTGGCTAAATATTTTACAGCCTACTTACCACGTGCATTTTTGAATGGGTCAACTTGGAGTCTTAAAACTGACAAGATGAAAAAGAGCCTAAAAAATCTTTCCTGTCTCTTGGACTTAAAACATAACTGTCTGGCTCCATAATATCTTAATTGTGCTATTACCAAGAAAAGGCAGTTCGATTTTATGTCAACTTGACCCTGTGTGAACGTTGTTGTGGTGGAGTCCACAACCTATCAATCAGGTCACAGCCTAATGACAGCTCCTTGGGGTGTGACCCTTTTCTGCAAGAAAGACAGTAAGAAATGTTCTTCTTCTCCCTAGTCCTGGGCCTTGCTTGCTAGGACTTTATGTCTGCCTACAGGAAAGCCCCACATGGGCTGTGAACCTAGAAAGCGATCAGAGCCCTGTCATGTTCCCACCGACCTTGTCCATATGACTCTGTACCCACTGGCCTATGATGTTCTTGCATCACCTTTCTGTGTCACTGGCCTTCAGCTATGTGAAGATGAGGGCTTTGGCTGCCACTGGACTGGGGCTAGTGGACTTTAGCTGGACTGGGCTAGGATGCTTTCTTGATATAAAATTACTTCTTAATATAAAGTTACTTCTGATACATATGTGAGCCTAAGACAGGCAATGAGTCCGAATTCTGAATTCACAGATGTGAACTGCCTGATTCTGGCTAACTGAAACCTGATACTATCACTGTCTGGTCTGGGCGGTTTCAATCTTGGCATAGCTGTATTGAACCCAAAGCAGGCATAGGCCCAACGAATGGGCAGTTGGCAGACCACTGCGAATGTAAGATACCCTTTTGTGGAGCCATGAGCTATGAGAACATCATGGATTCTAGCTAGACTTTCCGAGTCCCTTGCAGATGCCCACAGAAAAGAGCTAACTCTGACAGAGCCATCTGAAATCAAACTACTAATCAGCTCTATATTTCTGACACTGAGGCTAATTTTGACTCCGGCAAAAGCTACAAGGTAAGAAAGAGAAAGCATTATAACAAGCATATGCCTCCTTGAGCAAACTCCTCAACTCCCTCTCAGAGATGTTCACTACTACTGATGTATGCTTAACTTTCTAGATTAGTTGCCCTTTGCACCTATGAATCGATAACCTGACTTTACTTTTGTCTTTCTCCTGTTGGATAAACCTTAGCTAAAACAATTTCGTTATTAAATGCAACTGTCCTAAGAAAATTTCTAGATCACTCACTAGATAAACATAAAGGTAGAAGGTGATGTAAACCCACTTTGAAAACTTTTGAAAATTCATAATTCCATCCTAATCAATTTCTAAACATGACACGTCTACCTGGTTGAATTATATTAGCATGTTTTTATGTAAAAACATCTTTGTCCCATACATCATAGTGAGTGTAACCACTACCTGTTCCTGTTATATTTTGTCTTAAGATTTTCAGGAACAAGAGATTCCTGGCCAAGAAACAGAATTATTCCATTGCCCCAGGGATGTGAATGAAAACTGGTAACAAAATCAGGTTAAATTCCAAGAGGAGATAGGAAATGAACCAGGCTGGGGCTGTAAGGAGCCTGATAAGCACACCTGTAAGGTCCACTAGCATTCTATCTTTTTTTTTTTTAACATTTTATTAGGGGCTCATACAACTGTTATCCCAATCCATACACACATCAATTGTGTAAAGCGCATTTGTACATCGTTTCTCAAAACCGTACATAATTGTGTATAAGCCAAGTTTTTCAGTACATTTTTAATGTCGTTTTTGTGGTAAAATTAGGCGCTGTGGCTGATATCCGGGTCGGCTAATACTCGAGAATATACGGTAACTATTTCTGGTAACTCCATTCTTTCCAAAACTCTCATATGTGACCAGTGGAATTGTACATCTTATGTGTACACATTGACTATCAGTGGCACTGCATCAATCCCAGAAGGCTTTCAAATCAACTTCAACTTATTGGCCAGAGTTGTGCTGTACCTGAATCAATGCCTTATGCCAGTTTAAAAGAATGGTTCAAAGAGAAACTGACAAGACCTTTAGTTTTCCTAGTTAATAGGATTTGTTTTAACTGGTTAAATCCAGGACTCTTAAAGGGGAAATTGATCTCACTCTTCTGCTCAGATCCTACTGATAATAATAACCGTTCTGGGCAAAAGGAGTAAAAGAGTTAGCATAGCAGGCCCAAGACTGCGCTCCTAGGAAGGCCCGCTTATAAGGCTGGCCCTTGGATGACCTCTGGGAACTGGAATGGTCAATCATTTCCTACAGCGAAGTCAAGTATTCCCAAAACGATGGCCATTGTGCCTGAACTGACTGTAAGAACAATGCAGTCCGTGCTGAACCGCACCATTTCTTCTGGGAGTCCAAAATTTGGGGCTATGCTGGACAGAGGCTGCCGATGTGAACAAATCTCAATGATAAATCTGAGCACCGAGTCTCTACCAAGCTTCCCTGGTAAATAACTTCACACATATTTCTGCAACTTGTTGCTGGGAGATTCATGCTTGTCCTGTGTCACTCTACTGGGAAAAGTCTGTACCTTTTCTCTTAGTTGACTTTATTTTTGTGTCCTTTTGCTGCAAGGAAACATAGCTGTGAGTACAACTATATTCTGAGTCTCCTGAATCCTTCCTAGGAATTTCTGCCTTGGGGGAAAACTTTGGGAGACTCCTGACATACAGGTGATAAACAGACCAATCTAGATTTACATAGTGCATTTTAGTACAGAAACACATCACCAAAATTTCATTTAATTAGCAGAAAGTTAAAATTAACAGATTACTTACGAAAACAGATCAAACCACTGTTGTTTTGTAACAGATTCCTGACGTAAAAGCTTCAAAACAATAGGACGCATGAAATCCCATTTATCTTCAAACTGAAGAGAACCTTTATTCTTAAAAAAAAAAGAAAAAAAAGGAAAAAGAAAAAATAGCTTAATTTAAAGGCAGTTAAATAAAGCAAAAAATGTTCTATAATTTCTACCTTCTAATAGAGAAATGCAAAGTTCAAATTTTAAAAGAACTATTTTCTATAAGCTTTACCTGCTATAAAAGTACCATAGGAAGACCACCACAGAGGAAATTGTTTAAATGCATGCAGCAAAAAATTTGATTTTGATCAAAGAAATGGCCCAGCCTTTGCCTTAGCCTTCTGGTAGGGATTTCTGGGCCCTATGACGCTATGTCTGATGAATATGATTAAGCACAGGGCCTGGTTACACCTGTACAGTCTGAAAGAGGACACTGGTCATGCCGGAAAGACTTAATGCAAGCTGTGAGAGCTTTGGATAACATAAAATCAGTCAATTTATGTGGTAGTTATATAATCTGGTGTCAATTTGAGAAGGTGTAGAATCTAGTCTGTTAATCTGGTCTCAGCTTGATGACCTCAATTTGGAGGCAGCACGGAGATAAATAGCTGACTGGAGGCCAGATACAGACAAACTCTCTGATGACAAAACACATGGAGCTACTCTAGAGCCCTGGAACTCGAAGAGCCACATTGAGACCCATGCCAGCACTGAGATGCTTCCACCACCACTGGATCCACAAGACTTTCCACCCACTGACCTGTATCTTCCAGCGTTTGGCGTCATTTCATGTGTTTCATGAGTCTGAAGAGGAATTTATAGATTGGTATCGGACATATTGGCTAACATCAGACTTACAGAGACTTGATCTGAACTGGGCTGGGATGTCTTCTTAAGACTCATGGATACTGGGAAATGTTAAGTGCCCTGACTTCACAGGGAGAGGAAAGCAGAAACTGTTTGGAAGCTCATGTGTCTCTTCCTTTGGCTGATCTTAAACCCTTATTCTTTCCCTGAAGTAAAACATAACCAAAGCAGGTTTTGGTGTGTTCTAAACGTCTATCTGGAGAATTATCAAAACCTGGGTGTGCTCTGAGGAACTCCTAAATTTACGGTTGGTGTCATACATGAAAATAGATTTAGAAGTCCACATGAAAGAAGCACACAGCCTGTGTGCTCCAAAGATGACAATAGCAAAATGCAAATATGACAAAGAAAGAAGTCTCAGAGCTAAAATTGTGAACACCCAATGTGTGGAAGACAGTGGAGGACAGTGGGAGCCCAAGACCCATCTGCAGAGTATCTAATCCAATTAAGCCACTGGCAGATCCCCTGTAGCCACAGGCAAAGGTCTGGAACAGGGTTAGTATCACACACAGTTCATTGTAATGCTGATTATGCTGGATCAAGTTTGATATTGAGTAAGTGGACTTTCCTTTAGACCAGTGGTTCTCAACCTGTGGGTGGGGACTCCTTTGGGATTGAACAACCCTTTCACAGGGGTCACCGAATTCATAACAGTAGCAAAATTACAGTTATGAAGTAGCAACGAAATTAATTTTATGGTTGGGGGTCACTACAACATGAGGAACTGTATGAAAGGGTGGTGACATTAGGAAGGTTGAGAAGCACTGCTTTAGGCCCAACCTGAATTTGTTTTGAGTGCAAGGATCTCTTGTATGTTCTATGACAAAAATATCTTCCCTTACTTTTAAATATTGATAGGAGCCTTTTCTTTTTCACTCACTGTTTGTATTTTTATGTTTATATTACTATTGTTTATCTTTATCACCTTATTTCGTTTGTGTTCTTTACAGTTTCTGTTGGGCTTAGCAGGTTGTGAAGAACAGAAGTGGATGCACAGAGATAATAACTGACGCAAGGCGAGTTATGGAGGATATGGGGGAGTGGCTCTGGGGAGTAAACATTGAAGGTGGGAGGGAGCACTAGAAGAGAAATGTGAATACACAACGTATTTTAAAGGCGATTTAATCATGGTGAGGGTGCAAGGAGAAAGAAAATGTTCTAAAATTTAAAAACACAGTTTTAACTGACTGCCTCATAACAGTATACTTTGAACACAAGATGGAAAGAAACATCTCCTTTTTAAAAGCTAATCAATAACTGATAACAAAATGATGAGAAATGCACAGGACAAAAAGAAGGGGGAAAAGAGAAAATTCTAGACCATTCTTACCAGAGAACACAAAAGCAAAAATCTTAATACAAGGAGATTTTTAAAAGTTTGTGGAGGGAGACGTCGGACAGGGCAAGACATGACAAAATAATAATTTATAAATTATCAAGGGCTCATGAGGGAGGGG